ATGGGTCCCAATAGAACATGAGATGAAACTTATACGTTTAAAGCATGTTCCATTCTTGAATACGAAGAAATGTTTAGACACATTAACAAACAACCCAATAATACTGAATACATTTACTGCTTGGCAAGAATCTCATTCTCTTCTTTGCACAAACCTCTCATTTCTTAGAAGGGCACCTTTTTGGGGTAATCCCAGCCTCTCGCATCACATTGCTGACTCAGCATTGCGGGGGTGGAGGGGTAGAGGAGTCCAAACAGTAGCTGATTTATACATTAATTATATATTTTCCAATTCTCATCAGGTAAATGAAAAATTTAAGCTCAACAAGATAGTTTCTTCAAACTTTTACAAATCAGAGACCTGGTTAAAGAGAAATCAAAAGAAAGGTATCCCAGGTATCCCAAAAGAAACTCCTCTTGAAAGCCACCTATGTAATGAATCATGCACATCAACAAAAGGAATAATATCTTCTATATATGGTATAATCAATAGAAAGTTAGCCGCTTACGATAAAACAGTTACAAAAGGGAAATGGGAAAAAGACATAGGGTGTATTTATGAGGAGGAAGAGTGGCATCATCTATTGGAACAGGCACAGACTGTGCTAACCTCCACAAAACACAGACTAATCCAGTTTAATATATTCATAGGACATATTACACTCCTTACAGGCTACAAAGAATTGACAGTAAATTTTCCTCTAGATGTCAGGGATGTAAAGTGGCTGATGGGGATCTTATGCACATGCTATGGAATTGCCCAATGATAAAAGAACTTTGGAAATGTGTCAAAATATTTTATTTCTTTGTTTTCTTTTGGTGTTAAAAATCAAAAATCATCTTCCTTGTATGGTGTGTTTGTAAGACTATATATCAAAAAGTTTGCTTTATAAATTCAATTTTCAGTATAACTGTAAATGCTTGCTATATACCATAAATATCTTGTAAAAGCTTCTGTTAATAAAACAAATCTTTAAAAAAATACCGGTAAATAAAGTTTGGGCCCTACTAAAATACTTGCATCTACTGTAAACTAAGAATTTCACAACTGTGTTTAATAATAATTCTATGCACCTCAAGTAAGATAAACAATGTGAAACAAATGAGTTATTACTGAATTACTGTCTCTAATACAGGAACCAGTGCAATAGAATGCCGTGCAAACAACATTGTGTATGAATATTTGATAATAGGCTATGGATTAAAAATCTTAACTCATTATCTTATTAAATTTTCACAATTGACAATTCAGACCTTCTAAGAGGCATGTAGATATTATAAAAAACACTATGACACAAGACAGCATTTCTGTGGATGTTTTATTTTGGTAGATATGATGGAAATTAAGTTTTTAAACATATTTATTGGAGCTAAATACATCCCTCTGGTTCCTCCTCTATCAATCCTGGATAACTGAATTGTTCAACACATCCTCTCTGTATGTGGTTTGTCTTTTCTTGGGTGGTTGATCTTTTGAAAAAGAAAATGCAATGGTTCTTCTCTTTTGTGGACCTTCTATGGGTTTGTGAGGCATATCTGAAAGCTTTAGAGATTTGTGTCGCTTTAATTTGATTTAGATTAATCAACTAGACTGAGCAATAATTATTTTACTTGTGAGCAAAACATAGACTAAAACTGGGACTAAATTAGGAGGCTAAATTAGAGGAAATAAGGATTAAAGCTTGATAAAAAAAAAACAGCTCTAGATGTAGAGAAAATAAACCTTTTGAACTGATCTATACACCCTCTCCACATTGATTATTTAAGCCAGCTGCTGTATACTTTATTCATATTTACTCAACTGCTTTGCTTCAAATCTTCATTAATTTAGTGAATGACCTCAGTCCATAAGATAAGATAAAATTTAAATGGCATACCTTGTTATAAATGGCTCAGTCCCGGCTCTGCTCCTGTCAGGGCAGTGAATAGGTGGGCTGGTGCCAAAAAACAGACTGGATACAAACCTCACATGTCCTCCTGTGTGAGCACTAACGTATTGAAAAGGCAAACTTTTTTTTTTTTTTTTATTAGCATGGTATTTTAAGTGGAATGGAGTTGAGTTTTAATGTTCGTCATTTTATCGCGTGAATAAATGGAGATAAGTAGTGAGAGCGTGTGAAGACACTGAGATGCGTTAGTCTCACTCCCAATGGGTGAGAGTTGGCAGTCCTGGGTGATGAACCTGGAGTTACAGGATTTTAAGGCTTTTGTATTCAGCTACAAATGAGCTCAACACAAATGTGAATGCCATACATTATACATTGTTCAGTGCTTTCATATTGCTGAGAATGCAACAGTAACAGAACAAAAATATTTTATATTTACAGATAGACTGGTACCTTTCAGTGTCTCTTTTGTAAGGGCTCAAAAACATCACTACCATTAATAACAAATAAAACTTTGGTGCAAGTAATATGAATAGTTGTAAGTGCAAATATATTTTTAAGAACTTTAAAATATGAACATATTAGTCCCTTGTGTAACAACCAATTATATTACAACATAAATAATATTATAAATTTAATTATTACAACAATCATAACAACCATAACATACCTTCAAATCTGCAGCCGTCCCTCACTCTGTCTCTGAGCACTCCTGAAAAATATATATCATGAAGATGTTGACTAATCTAAAAAGCTAAGAAACATATTTTCAATTTACCCCTGCATGAATTTAAAATCTAGAAGATTTTCGCTTGAGATATCTAGAACCTCTGCAGTCTGATCATTTTTTAAATCTGACTGTAAGTCTGAGTCATGGTCCTGTGAGGAGCTGAGATGATTTGCTTTTTTTTAAACTAGCAAAGAACAAACCATTTAAACACCTGCTTTTGTCAAACTTATTGCATTACAATAATAATTTCCAAGGCTACTTACACTCCGTTGCTTATTTTTCTTGAAAAAGCAAGGTATGTCTGAAGACTTTTTCGGTGGCATCTTTTTCTTTTTTTTGACCATTAGAAACTGGTAGAGTGATGATAACTTAAAGATAAATTAGAAATTATTAGACAGCTTTGATGAAATCTTGGTTATTTATTATGCTGGGTTAAAGTAAAGTGTTCGGAAAGTTATAATTAGATTTTTTTTTTTTATTGATTTTTTTTTTTTCCTGCGGGTGAGTCTTTTTTCTGTTTCCTTGTTGAACTCATCCTCAATTGGTGGCAGAAATGCACTTTAACTAGAACAAGAAGAGGAAATAAAGAGTCATTGTATGCTCAACAGTCTATAGTTTCGCTCCATTGGGACCTTTTGCGGGGGGCATTGCTTAACCACTAATGTGAGAAAGGAGAAATCTGTTGGTTGAGAAATGCAGACCATCGAGGCATCAGTGCTAAAACTGCTCCACCCTGCAGCTGTTCTTTGATGTTCATTTCCTTGTTTTGTTTAAATCATGAGTTTGCAATCTGCTTCTACTAACCTTCAACGGTGACTCTAACTCTGCCTGAAAATGTTGAGATTTTCAATAGATATAGCCTATTCACACTAAAGCAAGTTTTATT